AAAAAAATGTCACACAATATATGTATTTTGTTTCTCATGAGAAAACTTTCTCATATTTAAATATTTTTTTATATGCATTGTTGTTCCACATGTTTTATGATTGATTTGATTGATCCTTTATTGTGAGTAAAAAAGAAGAAGTACCCCCATGGGGGTCATGATATCATCAATTGCAGACCTTGTCTCTTATACCTAAATTGTCTTTTTTAAACAATTCAATAATACCTGTCATGTTTTGTCTCTGCCCTTTTCCCAATATGAACAAGTACATATGAGAATATATAATGATGACCATTCCTCAAACATCTAACACATAGTTTAATGGATTAGTGTTGACATAGTTTAATGGATTAGAGTTGATAGTTTAATGGATTAACTTTACACTGTTATATTTTTTCAAATATATGCATATTTTTAAATTTAAATATCATACTTTTAGAAAGAAATATGACCGATCGACCTGCCTAATGATTAGATCACTTCATAAGAAAAAATGATAAATCACCAATATATAATTGGACCTCCACAAGACTTCATTATCTACTTTTTCTTGTTCTTTTTTCCTTTTCTTTTTCTAATTATCTTTTCCTCTATTAAAGGATACTAATATTTCCTCTTGTGCAGAGCTTTTCATTTGATTGGATTGAAAAAAAAAAATCCAATTTTGAACTTTAGGACAAAAGCAAAATGGGTGATCATGCATTTGAAGGCCTTGGCATTAATGGTGACCAATTGGATGGCAAGATTGTGCAGACTTTTCAAAAGAGTTTTGTTCAGGTTCAGAGCTTATTGGACCAAAACAGGCTTCTTATCAATGAGATTAATCAAAATCATGAGTCCAGAGTTCCAGACAATTTGAGCAAAAATGTGGGGCTGATTAGAGAGCTCAACAATAATATCAAGAGGGTTGTTCATCTTTATGGTGACCTATCAACAAGCTTCATAAAATCCATGGATGCTTCCTCTGAGGGAGACTCTTCTGGTGCTTCGAAATCCCGAGGAAAAGCTGCCCACAAGAGACATCGGCCGGGTTAGTTACTCGGTTTTTCTTGTAGAAAAGGTTTAATTTACGAAAATAACCCCCCGAGGTTTTACTTCATTGAAAAAGAAGCCCCCATAATTTCTTCATCTTACAAGATTGCACCCTCACCGGGGGGATGTTTGCAGATTTTCGAAAGATGGGAGGGCTCTTTTATAATTAAGTAAATCTTGGGGGTAGTTTTGTGAAAAGCTCACCCAACTGCTTTTGTTTTCTTGTTTTTTATTCTTTTAACCAAGATAATGATACCATTGTCTTTTGGAGGTTGTATCAATTTCAATTTCAAATTTCCCTAAAGCAGTGAATTAGTCTCTAGTGTATTAGTTGCTCACTTGAAAGTTCTTTCTTTTTATCCTTTCTTTTTTGGAAGCAATAATTGTTGTAGGTCTACTAAGTCTAGTTCAATTTTCTTTGCTTCTCTGATGTAATTGGATCAAGAATCTTTGGAAGATGTAATCATTTTGTACCATTTTTTGTTCAATCCACATATTGATTTTGGTCTTCATCTAATAATCTGTAGCCTTGCTCATGAAGTTGACCCCATTTATGTTGTTGTTTTTTTACACTTTGGTGGGTTCTTTTTTCTTCTTTTTATTGCCTTTTTTGTGTTTGTCAAAAAGCCTAAGGCCATGCATGAATCTTTTCCAGATTTTCTTGATCACTGTCTTTTAATGGAGTGTTGTTATACTTTACTTTTGTGTGGAAGCTCACTTTATTCCTACTTCAATTTATGCCTGGCCACTTTCATTTTTCATAAACTTCATAACTTCAGTGTATTAAAGTGATGGCTGATAATGTTCTCATTCCTTTCACATGAAAATCGAAGTTATCATCTGCATATGCTCTGATAAATCCAACAAAGCAGCTTTCATATCATATAATAAATACATTTTTCCTTTTCTTTTTTCCATCTATTTTTATTCATAAAACACATGTCCATCACAAGTATCATATTAATAAAGTAAAATAAAAATTGTTTACTCACCTATAACCCTACCACTCAAAATTGTTGAAATGAAATAAAAATATTCCCACTGATAATATACGACCATTTTTTTTTTTTTTCTATATATCTGATTATCTTCCATTTGTTTATGTTCTCATTTATAGTTTACTTCTAGAATACTA